TGCCCCAGGGCCATAGAGCACTGACACCAATGTGGAGGATGCGGCAAATGGCGTTTATTGCGTAGTTCAGTTTGCCTAAATACTCCATTTGAAATGCGCAAACTCACCTACTGCCCAATCGGGGGGACACTAATTTCAAATTTTCGCCTTGTATGGCATGGGGTTATCAGTAAACTGTCTAAATTAATTATGCACCTAACTCCCGTGACATCGCGAGATCTTCYGRRYGCCATGCYCTGTGCTCTATGCCCTATGSTAYACTATATCATCTACTTTTGCTAATCTCTCTACCTTATTAAGTCCTAAAAACACAAAAACTCCTATACACGTGTCTGTTGGAACCTGAATGAACAGAATTTAGTGGTAATGTTAATGCTACCTCAGTTTCCTACCCAGCTTCTGCTGGAGCTAGGTAGCAGCAGATCACACAGATATAATCTTTTTTATTTTCAACCTCTGTTTAGGTCGGACTAAGCCTGAATACCGGCAAGTGGAAGGAGTTGGCTTGATAAAGAGTTCTGCATACGAAGTGCTCCCTGTTATTAGTGGTTCTTATGTGTTTTTTATAGAGGACTAAAAGTATGGATTTGATAAGCTGTAAAAACAGTGAAAATTAATTATGATGTATAATGTGTTTTAATGGCTTTCAGCTCCTTGATCTTTCCTTAACCAGATGAGCTCTGAATTTTTCATTTACTTGAAACTGCCACTGATACATGGTAGGCATTAAAGTAGATTGGAAAGCCTATGCCCACAGAAAGAGGAGTGTGGAAATATATATGTAGTAACCATTTGGTACAAAGGAAAGTATATTCTGGGAATATCATCAGGTAAACGAATTATGAAAACTCACTCTTTAAAGGGGAGGATAAGAAATAAGAATCTTGTCTTTAAAACCTTAACACATGCTTCATATGCAGGTACCTTAAGAAGAACTTCTCAAGTTTAACTTGAAGACCTTAGTGATAATAATCAAATCTGAGAGCACTTTGACTTCCAGATCACTGGTAGTACTAATTATATTAGAAGAACTCTTTTTAATATAAACTGTTCTAAGTACATACGATGTTGTGAAAGATTCATAGAATAGCTCTGTTGTTTTGAAATTTTTAGCATAAAACGTGTGACAAGAACTTGTCTCCTTCTTGTCTCCTTTATTCTGAAAAAGAAACTGGCTACATGTGCTCTGACCACTAATGTAGTTCCTGGCATTGAAGGCCAAATATTGCATGTATATATATATATATATATTTTCCTGCAGGAAGTCTGACTCTAGCTTCTATAGACTGTTCTGTATTTCCCATTTGTATCTGGGCCAATTTAAGGTTTGTCTGTTCAAAAGCTCTGCTGTATTATTTGAAGAAAAACAAATGGTAACTGTAATTGATATAAATAAATAGGAATTAATACATAATAAATAAGGCTGTTAAATATGGAAGAGCTGAAGGACAGAATCCGTTACTGAATGCAGTGAATCTTTTGAGAGCTGTTAATGGACCTCTGCATTGGAGACCTCACCTTGATGTGAGGTTCTTCCAATACCCTCTAAAAACAAATAAATAAATACATTTCAAGGAAAGCCCTGATTATTTCCTTTGTCTTGGAAAGGAACAAAGGAATTCAGTTTGCTTTAAGAGAAACTTAATTGTTTCTGTATTACGTTTCTTATATATGGAACATGGAGGACAATTTTTAATTGTTTACAGATAAGCTCATATAGGAAAAATGTCCGGGTACCTACAGGCAACATATTGATTATGGTTATCGATAGTGTCAGAGAGGGATTTTATTTGAAAAATCCAATGTATTGTTCAGGATATTATTGCCTTTTGTTGTTGTTTTCCTTTTTTATTATTGTCTTTTTCTTTTTTAAATACAAAAAAAAATTGAGATACATGAAGAGCCCTGAAACAGTTTCTGAAATTTGGCAGTTGCTTCAAAGGCTGTAAATTCTCTCTTGGATTGGGTAAACATAATTTGGACTAGCAAGGCAATCATTCGTGTTGTTAGTGACACAGCATAATTAGTTTATTGTTGCTGCATGCTTTTGTAATGCAACTATTAAACACTGATCAGCTTCATTTCTCAAAGGTATTTCATTGCATCTTAACACGTAACATGCTCCTAACTCAGATTTCTGGAACTACAATTGGAGACGATATTTCTTCAGGGTTTATAAGGATTCAGGTATTGTTGCTGAATTACCGAATCCAGAATTCCTTTCACAAACACATGCCTAGCAATAACGCATGTGCCTTTCCTCCTGTCTCCTGTTCTACTGTTAGTCTCAGTGCCCTTCTGCAAAGTGCTCTCTTCATCAAGCGGTTTGCATCTTTTCAGAAATGAAACTGTGATTGTCTTGGCAGCGGGGCAATACTATCTTTTCTTTATTCTTATTTGGATGATTTACGTATCTTTGGATAAATCTCCAGGGAAGAAGATTAAAAAAAAAAAAAAAAGTTTCTCCTGAAACTTTGCAGCTCAGTGCAGAGATATTCTATCTAAAATTACATGGTACTATGAGATTTCTGCAACTAGAGTGTTTTGTAATCAAAAGTAATTGTGTGTAGATTTAGCATTATAGAAAAAAATTCTAAAAAATTCCTCATTGGGAAGTAGAGGTGTGATACAGCTATTAGAAAGCCTTGTCACCTATGAGTGACATAGGATGGTGATATGTCACCAATAAATCCATAGTGCAGGGAAGGCATATAAAATGAAAGCAGCTGCAGAAGCACTGTGCTTGGCTTCAAGGATCCTAAAGAAAACCTGGTTTAAGACGGGAGCTGTGTGCTTGGGGTCTGCTCTGGGAAAGCCTTGCAGGGATGGAGCCTTATTCAGTGGGAACTTGCTTGCTGTCTTTGATCTAAGGAGGTGAAAGTCCTTTGTAAGGGCCAGTATCAAAGTACTTCTGCAGAAGAATGTCTTTGTAATAAGATTTAATAGATCAGACTTGCAGTATTTGAATTACAGTCAAGCTGTAGCTTTTCTGTGGCAGCTGAAGATATTTTCACTTTATGGTTAGGTAAACTGAGATGGAGAGAAACAGAGTGTTTCTACCCAGGAACGGCGAAATTCAGTAGTAGAAATCGATATATAACAACTACCTTATTCAGCGATACTTCATCTGTATAACACTGAGTCATTCTTCTCCCCTTAGTTTATATTTGCATTTGTGGTTATATCAGTTAAATCTTTTCTCTAAAAATCACAGTTTGCATAGTGATTGCATCCAAAAATGTAATGCAGTAGCTAAATTGTCTTTCTTGCCATGAATGCAGAATGTATTCCAAGCCCCATTTAAACTTTATGAAGTTGTGCAACATCTTAGATAATTTGTTCCTAGTATATGGCCTCAGAAAATCTGCTCATATTAAGCACGTCCTGGAAAACATTCTCCACTGAACTAGCTCTTTTTCGAGGTTCAGCTCTTTTTAGTAATTCTGACAGGCGTTGATTATATGGGTCTTTCCATCCTTTTTAAACACCTTGCTGCACATGCTTTTGCAAGATGGATTTAATTGACAGGGCTTCTGACAGATCAGAAACACTTAGGATAGCTCCGTGCTGCTTGTTTTGGTGAATAAGAAGAAAATATATTCATGTTGTGGGAATAGACTGAGGCATTTTTTGTAATAGCATAACAATACGGTATCCTGGTTATCTCAGTGAGTGAATCAGTCCAGACATTTAATGTATAGTGATTAATTTTGTAAGATCTTAAGAAGTGTTGTCAGTCCAGGGCCAGCTGCTAGGTCTCCAATAACCTTTAAAGGACAATCTAGAGATGAGGAAGGTAATTTAAGCTTCTCACATTCATTGTTAGAGCAAGTGAAAAGAATTATCCTTGACTGGGAAGACGAGACTGTATAAAAGAAATAAAAACTCAGCAGTTCTGGCAATGGCTTCTTCTATTATGTATAAGGGTGATTAATCAAAAAGGTCTGGAATGGATTTAATTGATGTCTTGGATAAAGAATACATTACTGTCTGATTTTTTTTTCCTGTAAATATATTTAATTCTGACGATATTATCAGTTATGCCGTTCTCTATGTAGTATTTTATTTAAAGAAAGAAATGATTAGAATGTATATTTTGTGACTGTAACATAATTATTAACCTATGACTTTACAATATCTAGAGTGTGAGGGAGGAAAAACTGGTATTCAGAAATTAGAAAGAGAGAAATAATTTCCATTTGGTGACTTTAGTTGAACCCTTGCCATTTAGGCCTAGCCTTAGCTTTGTGACTTGCATGTGGCTTTTGATGCTCTTAGAGTCTCTCAAAAATTGAATGAGTTGCTAGTTCGGAAAATAATTTGTGAAAATGTTGCTCGTGCATTTTGATAAATGACTGGTTATCAGCTAATACAACCTAATACTGGTCTATTTGAGCCAACAGGAAATAATTGTTAAATTTTTGATTCTTTCACAATTTACAAACACATCCAATATTATAAAATCAAGAAATAATTTCCTTATTGGATAGGAAAAAAAAAAAAAGATTAGTCGTTCTGATATATAACTTTCTTGAGGGGTGAGGTGAACAGGACTTGGTGCCTGTGCATAACAAAAACTGGCCTAAATAAATGGATAAGGACTGTGTGACTTGTGTCACTGTTGTACCTACTTGAACTCCTGTTGATACCTTCTAGAAAGTCATTTGAAATAAAGGAAAAAGTCTCAAAATGATTTTTGTCATTGTTCTGTATTCGTTTTGAACATAACCAGTAATCAGAGGATTTATTTTTTGATAATGAGCGTCTTGTTCTTTTTCTGTTCTCTTACAGCCACGCGCTGTTGCTGGTTTCCGAGGAACGGTCCGGTACGCATCAATCAACGCTCACAGAAACAGAGTGAGTATCTGGAGTTATAACGTGTCCATCTTACCTTACTGCTTTTAGCTTTTAGGAAAGTATCTGACATCCATTTGTTTTTTTTTACTCTTATATATGTGCTTAATAGGTGAAAATTTATGCTTCTAACTTTCAGGAAAGAATAGTATGTACAGTGGTTGAAAGTGAAGTGGTTCTTGTTGTAGAAATAGTAGCCATTTTAATATTTACATTCAGTGTCCAGTTGTATTGGAAGTTGTTAAATTGAAAAAATGGACTTACTAAGTTCTGTAAAATATAGAATTTAAAATATGTCATCTTAACAATACACACTAAATAAGCCTGAATAAGCAGCTCTTCAGTATAAATCTTATTTTAACACAATTCAACTTTTGCTTTTCTGTGTCTTTTAGCAAATCACTGGTAAATATATTTCTGTTCCTATTTAAAATGATTGCTGAATTTAATTATAAGAATTAATCTTATAGTTTTTGCATTTATTTATGTGTATATATTATATGTAATAATTCAAGACTCCATGTCAATGAATGATCTAGTAAAGTCCTTTTTGTCTTGTAGGTACTTGTAGGATGCATTTGAATAATACTTCTTTTTTACAGGAAATGGGGCGGCATGATGACCTCTGGTCCCTGTTTTACATGTTGGTGGAGTTTGTGGTTGGACAACTGCCTTGGAGAAAAATAAAAGATAAGGTAAGCCTTATCTGTGAATAGCTGTGAAACCAAACAGGATGAGGAAGATACAAGTTTTAGAAACAGTCTTAGTGGGAAAGTAGGCTATGCTTATGGTTTTTGCAACTGTTTTACAGAGCAAATATCCGTGTGTGTATGTGTATATACAAAGCAAATATACTTAACTCCATAATCTTCTTTTCAGTTGTGTACTTTCTGATGTCTGAATTGACTGATATCTTGACTGAACTTCTGATGATGCAACAAGATATTTTATTCTTTAAAACATGAAGTTTTTTAGGAGAGTTGGAGGGTTTCATGGTAGTCTTCAATATCACACAGCAAGGGGTTTAGCATTAAATATTGAATTTGAAGTTTGTACATTTCTTTGCATATGTAGTTAAGGCAGTGATAGAAGCTCTTATCTTGATACATGCTGAAGAATTTCCTTTCTTAGTACTATCTAGTGTGATATACTCATCTTTCTGCTCAGAGTTGTACTGAACAGCTGTGAGATCCAGAGTGATTTTGTGATAGCACAGAATGAAAATGTATTAATACTTGGTTTTGTGTGTTATCTGCTTGTTAGGAGCAAGTGGGATCCATTAAAGAAAGGTATGAGCACAGACTTATGTTGAAACATCTCCCTCAAGAATTCAACATCTTTCTGGATCACATTTCTAATTTAGATTACTTTACAAAACCAGATTACCAGGTAAATATTTTAACTTTATATATTTATTTATGATCTTTAAATAAGAGAATTTTATGCTGTTTTATCTTCAGTTTTCTCCAATTTTATTGTGTTCTTGAAAACTGCTATGGATTATCCCACCATAATGTTATTTTAATGACCATCCAGTGCTGTGGGAATTTTGCAGTTTTAAAATAACTTTTTTTTTTTTTATCTCCATTTTGGAAAGATAAGGCAATTGAGTTTCTATATTTCTGTAAGAAGTTTCTCTATTTTAGGCTTGATTGAGTGCTCTTTGAATTAAATTGATCAAATTGCTTTATCACTGACAGTAATTGTGGCAATTTTCCAGAGTCTTGAACTCAGCACTAACAAGAAGTATGCTCAGAGGTCATCAAATTGCAATCCTGCTGGGTTCTTAATACTGAGCTGTTGTCCGCAGAGATTACCTACACTAGAAAACTGGATATTCATTTCCTTCCTATAAGAGACTGTTGCATACTGAAATAGTTAGCCTCAGTTCAGGGATAAAACGATAGATGCAAGAGGAGCTGCTGTCGACATCTCAGCACTGTCCAGCGGCGGGGGGCAGTGGCAGCAGGGCGCCTTTACCCCGCGCCCCGAAACATACAGTCCCGTGCCACATTCTCACTAGTCCTCACACCAGTCCTCTGCCTTTCTTCAGCTCACTTACCCAGCAAAAATAACAAATAGTTTTCTGCTGGTGTGAGAGTTGAATTGGTTCAACTGAATAAAATTGTTTTGACTAGTTCTGCAATGATAGCTTTGAGAGTGCAGATTAGAATAGTCACAGTCAAGCTATGCTGGAGCAATTGAAGTTAATTTACATCTACAGTTTTTGTGGTGGTTTTTCTCCTCCATAATCATGCCTATCTGCGATTCTAAAGCTAAAAAAAATCTTGATTAATGTAGATTCACTTTTTTTCAAAGAATATATCAATTCATTTCAAAACTGACCTGATTAACATTGACTAGTACTAAAAGATAGATCAGCAGTTGATACTCTGCTTTTGCTTCCGTTGATCAGTACCTTTTATATTGCATATCATTTCTTTCACATGAGTTTTTTTCCCCAAGAGATCATTGCACTGGACAAGACTGAAAATATGTCTGCAAGATGTACTTATTTCTTCTTCAACGTTTTTATCCATTCATTGCAATTGAACTGTTTCTTCTGAAAACAAAAACAAATTCCCTGTGTCTTCATAGAGGTGATCAGACAGCATAATACCAGTTTGCTTGAGATTTCTTATTTGTTTGTTTTGACTTCCTGTTTTAATTCCTGATCTTGGCTAGGTAAGATTAACAGAGAAATCAAGATATGTAGGATTCTAAATCAGAACTGGAAATCTCAATTTCCTGTTTTTCAGAGAACTTCTCTTAATGTTCGGATGTGTCCTGCTGTGTATTTGCAATAAACTTCTGTTTGGTGAGAAACATTTTCATGAACAGAGAACTTATTCAAAGTTTCTGAAGGCTGAAATACTGCCTTGTTTTACCTTTCTTAGTACAGTTTTCTATGGAATTTATCCTGTACTTTACTGTTAAGGGAGGGAAAGAAAGTTTTAAGTGTTTGGTGTGCTTTATTCCCAAGATGAATCAGACTGCTTCCTATGATAAAAATTCCTGATTGTAGAAACGTTGATGTTATGTAGAAAACCTTTGTTGAAAACTGATTATGTTGAATTTATATTATGTACCCTATGTGATAATATATATATGCATACATATATTTTGTGAGCACTTTGTATGTGGTCTACGTGTACGTAACATAGGAAATGCCATGCAGGGCTTTATGTGATACAACTGCAGAGCTGCTCGGTGAGCACGAAAGCCCAATAGTGTATGGTCCTCTGGACCATCTGCAATTGCATCATTAAAGCTCAAGCCTTCTGACACGATCTTGCTGTGTATTAGGGGGTAGGATGGAGGTGTTTGAAGAGACAGGAATGGGTTTTACTTTCAGTGGTCATTTAAGCTCTGGTCTCTCTCAGTAACTGTTGTAGCAATATTTTTTATTTCATGGATATGTATCAATTCTTCATAGTTATACTTAAGCACCAAGCAAGCACATAAGTGGTCGATGTCCCTGCTATGAGGAGCGTATGGTAGGGTAATATAGGCCAAAGTGAGATGTGTTTATTTTATTCAGTTATTTATGCACATATTTCTTCAACCTCCCAGCATAGGTAAAAATTTGCATTTGCGTTTGCATTATAGCAGAAATCGTAGCAGAGACTTAAAAGGGATTGACCTTAATCATAACTTCAGAGAGTGTGCTGAAGGGGTCCAGAAAATAGTGAATAAAGGGCCAATAGGTATGGGATAGAGACCAGCCTAGGGGTTTATGCAGTTTAGCAGGGGCTCAGCTGCCTAGGGTAGAATTAGGAGGGAACTGGAAAGTAAGGATGAAATGGATACAATCACATCAGACAGAAAAGTATTGAAATTGCTCATCTGTTTTGATGGGGGAAGGAGATATGTGTTTTTTAAAGGTGCCAAAGAAGAGTACTATTCAGCATCATAGATGGGAAATGGGAATGAAAACTGAAAATTTAGATGTTAGGAGAAGAGATCTTATGAGGTAAGAGATGACATTATAAGGACACGACTTCCTCACTAGTGACTGCAAGGTGGCAAAGTTTTGCCAAAGCTGGAGGAAAATAGATTTCATTTCAACCCAAATTATTCTAAATCCTTTTTCATAGAATAAAATCGGGGAGAAAAGCTTGACAGAAACACCTAACTTAGCAAGTCAGCGCCCTCTCTGCGTTCCCCTGATTGCTTTCTTTGCTTTCAAATGGTGTCACCTAATGTGTCTGTTTTCTTTTTCCTCTGTTGGATTCTGTTCTGCAGCCTGTCTTGCCTGTCTGTGTGTACGTGTTCCTATCTTTCTAAGGAAGCCTGCATTCCTGTCTAAACTCTCTTCTGAAATGATCTACACACAAATGCCGACTTGTGTGGTTCTTTGCGTCTCCTGATCGCTAGAAACAAAGGGTTTTTTGCTTGTTTGCTAGTTTTTGCTTGTTTGTTTTACAATCTAGATTTTTTCCCTCCTTTTTTCAGGAAAATTGTCAGCAAAACAATTAAAAAAGTATGTGCAAGTATTATATTATTAAAACTATGTTAAAATATTACAGGACCATACATGTTAATTGCTTTATCTTACTCAAATGAAGCTTTTCTTCTTTTTTTTTTCTTTAGCTTCTCATGTCTGTATTTGACAACAGCATGAAAACGTTTGGGGTTATTGAAAGTGACCCTTTTGACTGGGAGAAGAGTGGAACTGACGGCTCTCTGACAACAACAACAACTTCAACTACACCTCAGTTACACACTCGGCTGACTCCAGCTGCAATTGGGTATGTATGCATCTTTTCTGTGTTCACCTAAAAGGCAGGCACAGGGCATCAGAGGAAAGTTATGTTAGTTTCTTCTGCAGGATGTTGAATAAATGAGTGGAACACTGAGGGAAATTGATTATTTTCCTTTTGGGGTTTCCTATTTACTCTATTAATAATCCGCACCTAATCTCCAGTAGTAGCTCAGGACCTTGTGTATATGTTCTCATTTGCTCATCAATCATTTGCTAAACTGCATTATGTATTTAGACCTTCAATCCAGAGATAGCTCAACTAGTAATAAAAAAAAAATGGATGTGAGCTTAAACAAACTTTTTCCAGAAATTCCTTAAAACATCATTCTAGAAATAAATTTTATCTATTTATGTGTTGCATAACTTTGGTTGTATGCCTGAGTTAAAGATACAGAAATTATGAAGACCTGGAATTAGCTTTTGCATACTAGATGATTTACAATATTTGCATTACTATTGAAGTTTGTTTTCCTGTAGTTTTTCCATTTAGTTAAGTGGAAAACCATTTCAGTGAGAACAGCAAAGTCTCTCTAATTCTTTTGTAGAATCGCCAATGCCACCCCCATCCCAGGAGATCTGCTGCGGGAAAACACAGATGAAGTGTTTCCTGATGAACAACTCAGCGATGGAGAGAATGTTATTCCAGTTGGTGTCTCACCAGAGAAACTACCTGGGTCCCCAGGGCATCAGCGTCCTCAGGAAAAAGATGTCTGGGAAGAAATGGATGCAAACAGGAACAAAATAAAACTGGGGCTCTGTAAGGTATTTATAAGTTTTTGATTTTTATTGAGAGAACAGTTTCTGAAGAGTTTTCTGTCCTCATGATGCACATATGACAAAATAATGTAGTCATACTACATTACTGTAGTCATACTACATTGATTGATACATGACTGCATTGATTGGTGCTATGAAGTGCCTAACTGAGACTACTATGAGAGTATTTCCGAGAGGGATGTGAGAAATCATGTATACTGATGTATATTTACAGTACACTGTAAATTTAAGTATACTGCTGTGCATTTGAGACTCCCATTTTCAGACCTGCCCAAAACATTTGTAGTATGGGCACTTTTTCTCTGTTTGGGTATATATTGAAGAGCCTGTCTAAACTAGCTTAAGCAAGACATACAGTTCTGAATATGAATGGGCTCATCACTGGCTAAAAATCTAGATGGTGTTCACTGTGTATTGCTGTGTGTGCCTTTATTTTACCCCTCTTAGTGAGGTGCTTTGCTTTGGCTTTACTTGCACAGGCTGCTACAGAGGAGGAGAACAGCCATGGGCCAGTGAACGGGATGCTTAATGCACCGAGCCTGGGCTCGCCCATTCGTGTCCGCTCAGAGACCACCCAGCTGGACAGAGATGTCCCCCTGGTGCGAAAGCTGCGCTCGATCCACAGCTTCGAACTGGAGAAGCGGCTGACGCTGGAGTCCAAGCCAGACACTGATAAATTTCTTGAGACCTGGTAAAGAAGTTATTTCTTCTTTTATTTCTATGCTTAGATCTTCTCAAGATATGTAGTTAAGATAGTTTCATCTTTCCCCTATTACTGAGTCGGTTTGCCCTGGGGGAATTGGAAATGGAGCTGCTGAGTAATGCTCATGCAAGCTGCATCAGATTGTATTTATTTTGTTCATAATATTGCTTGATTAACAGCTTTTACTGCTTGTCTTTTTTATATATGGATAATATATGTCTGTAAAATTTATATCTGCAAAATATATTCTTTAAAATATATGCTAATATGCAGTTAGTTAGCTTTGCACTCCTGATTTTCATTTATTTGAACATCTAATGGTGTAACACAATAATATCCCAGTGAGGGAAAAGGTAATATACATCTGAGGGTTAGTACAATTCATCCTGAATAAGAATGGTAACATCAAATGTTTGATCGAAGTAAAATCTAGAAATCTACCTGATCCTGCACTGGATTTAGTTAAGCCAAAGTTGTTGCACCAACATAAAATAATTCTTTTAGAAGAGAGAGATCTTAAAATGGATTTCTAAGGTGAAAAGAAGACAGGTATTTGAGAACAGACTCAGTGAATGTGTTCATGGATAGAAAGAGTAAATGAAGAAGGGCCTATTGAAATCTGGTGGAAAGGCAAAGCTTAGAGGGTCAGTGGGGACACAAGAAGGCAGCCAAGATTTTGACAGTGGCAAAATTCTGCTGAATACATCACAGAGGGTTAGAAATTTGAATTTGATCAAGTAAGTGATGCAAAGCATAAATAATGAATGTAAAATTTTAATAGTGTTTAACAAAGAGCTAGGATTTAATGGAAGTATTTAAAATTTTAAAAGTAATGAAAAATGAGTTTTGTAACACTGGAAACTGAAATGTGGATTTGTCTTCCTCTGTCCTTAACCACATTAGGTGTGTAAGTGTCATGAAAGAGTAATTGAAGTAGAGCTTTGGTATTTCTTTAATCCTTTCTCAATCTCAAAAGGAGACATTTACATTTCTGAAAAAAAAAAAAAATCATTTCTGTTTTCCAATAAACTTCTGACAGAAAAGGGAAATATTGTACTTCAGAGAATAGACTGAACTGCAGTATATCCTGCAGACCTGAAGCAAGTATGGAGGAACTTGTTTATATGTAACAGAAAAAAAGAAATCAGAATCATGGCCACCCTCAGTCCCTCTTCTACGTTGTTTGTTCGTATAATACCAAAAATCAGATACTGAATACAGACTCAAGTGTTCATTTTTAAGTTAAGTTTATTCAAAACAATGAGTAAGATCCTGCTTGAAATTCTTTCCTAGCTCCTCTTGGAGACATGTTTCTTTTTCTCAGTTTTGAGTCTTTGCTTTGCAGCATTATTTTCACTGGACATCTTCTGGGAGTGTGACCAGTGGTTTGCTGTCCACCCACTGGTTTCTCTCTTGTTCTCTCTGGCCAATTTAAAATTAAAATTTATGTGTGAATTTCTAATACCATCTGTCTATTTTTGCCTGACATAAGAGTTATCTTTTGAAGAAGAGAGTAATAAGTATCACACCAAAATAAATGTTTTCTTATGTGTATATTCTCTAAGCTAGGGAATTGTTTGAAACTGCAGTTTTCAAACTGTTCTAAAACTGTCAATACTTTTTTGTATAGATTTAATTTTTCTCTAATGACAAAATTCAGATGTAATGTGCAACATTTAATTCATTCTAATCTAATTCTGTTTTTAACTTCTTAAGTTTGGAGAAGATGCAGAAAGATTTGAATGCTGCAGCGGAGACTGCTGTTGCTGCTGTTCCTCCTCTTGCTCAGAAAATACCTGTTCCTGCTCCAGCGGCTGCCCGCATGGACCATGTTTGGCACTATGATGAAGAATATCTTCCAGATGCCTCAAAGCCTGCGTCAGCTAGTTCTCCAGAACAGGTTGATGGTGGTGTTAGCAATGGATTTGTAGCTGTCAACTTAAGCTCCTCCAGGCAGGAGGTTGATTCTAAAGAGTGGGTGATAATAGATAAGGAACGGGACTTGCAGGGTTTCAGGACAAACGAGGCTGTGGGACACAAAATGACTGGAAGTCCCTCCGATGAAGAGCCTGAGGTACTACAAGTTTTGGAGGAGACCCCTCCAGAAGAGCAGCCCAGGCAGGGTGGTTGGGCAGGAAACGGTGTCCGTACGAAGAACCAAACCTCAGGGGTGGACTTAGTTCTAGCCATGGAGTGTCACCCGGCCGCTTCCGATCAGCTTACCGATAAACTGGAACTTTTGGCCGGAGCTGCTGGACAGCTTCTTGCAGCCACCCCTACAAGTCCTATGGAGGCTCAAGCAGAAGGGGCGCTCACTCCGGTAAGAGAAGCGATCATTGTTTCATTGCATCTACCTTTAGAATTGTTTGAAGATGTAGGTACTGAAAAGGCATCGCCAACAATATAACAGTACTGTAGAAATTCTTAGGTCATCAGGTATGTGACTTGAATCTTCAAAAATAACCATATTTGTTCTGCTGAATATGTTCACATTTTCCCATGAAATTGGCTGGTAGCTCTGAGGTGTATGAGCTACAAAACTGGGCTCAGCTAAGATGCATATATTAAGAAGATGGTTCCTCATCAGTGAGAGGTAAACATATAATTATCTTTATTACATCTGCAGTACACGACACCATTAGAATGAATATGTAAAATGTGATGCTAAAATATTCTGTGTATTTCAGGAAAAACCTAAATGACTGAAATTAAACAAAATTTTTTGCTCTTACCATCACTAATAGATATTTTTTGTCTTTTGGAAATTCGTCTGTTTCTTCCCGCTCTGATTTAATCTCATGGTAATGTCTGCCTTTCAGAAATCTCTGTTGTGTCTTATACAAACTACTTGTCGGCTTTTATGAATCTTTGCTACTTTTCACTTCCAAGATAATTGTGCAACTACGGCTCTGCTCCCAGAGTTTTCTGTATCCTGAGACAGACTGATTTACTTCCATTGCTGCTGCTTCTTTATTGTGCTTTTTAATCTTTCCTAAAGAATTCTAATTTGCTTGGGTTTGGAAAGCTTACCATCTTTCCTCCCGTGGTACTAATTTTTTACAAAGACTTTTTTGGCTTTACTTAAAAAGGAAGCAAGATAAATGGTTAAAGCAAACACTTGCGAATCAGCCGGTGGTTTAATTTCTACTCTCTCTTCAGTTGATACTGAGTGCCAAAAGGGCAACTCTTTCCAGCGTCTCTGAGCCAAGAAGCCAGGCTGTGTTTCGCTCCCACTTGTATCAGCACTTTGAAAAATGCAGCCTGCTTTGTAGAAAAGGAAGCTTGTTGGCAGTCAATCATTTATTATAAGGTCTAGGATATTCTTTATTGGTTAAAATTAACAATTTTCATATATTTAATGTAATTAATATAAAACAAAACTTCAAGTGAAGTTAGATTCTTATGGAAGGTGAAAGCATACTTCATACAAGATTAAATATATTTAGAGTTTGTATTTGTGAATCATGGAGTTTACAGATTTATTTTGGAGATTTTAAAATACGGAACTGTGCTGAAAAGCATAAGAAAAATTTTGAGACAAATTGAAATATCAATTGTACAAAAGTTTTGATGGTTTAGAAACATGCAAAGATAAAAAAAATTACTCAATTATTTTGATTTGAATTGCTCAGTTGTTTCTGATCATTCTGTTTCTGTGTTTTTAATATTAATTTTAATAGGCAACCTACAGCAATATTTTGTTCTGTGCAAAATACGAATTATGAGACGCTTTTATTTCCAGAGCTATTAGAAAACAGCTTGCTATTTTGCATGCGACTGCACTGACCTGCTGTATATAAATATGACTTGTTTAGGGAAGTGGCTTGTTTGCTTAAACTGGAAGTAGAGGTCATGTAAATTATCATGTACTGCAGTGCTAGTAATGCACAATACTGTTGTCTGGAAAGAGAGTCTGTGCAGAAGAATAGAAAGTCATAAACAAGCTGAATGGATTATAAAATGCCTTGGGATAAGTCTTGGTTGAAGTAAACACTTGATTGAGATGATATTTTAGTCCTGTTCTGCAAGCAGGTGAGCGATAGTTGTTGTGAACTAGAGAACAGGGGAGAAGGTAACATTTACATTATCCTGGAAGGGCAAGTGATGCCGTGAAGGCAAGATGAGTGGCAGGAATTTGTCTGTGCTGAAGATGAATCATGTGGAACTTAAAATACAGCTGTTCTGGGAGTAAAAGAAAACAGAACTGATTTGATGTATACACTGAATACAGATCACCAGACGTTGCTATTCAGTGGCTCTGTTCCAAATGCGATTGCACTTTGTGGTAGTTTTGCATTTACTTCACTAGTCCTTGAATTAGGCCAAGCAAGGCCCAGGAGGCTATTTTGGGGTGAGTTGTTCTTTCTGTCTTCTGTTGATGTTTTGGTATTCCACTTCTTCAAAGAAATACTTGGATTCTCTGGGATGTGCGTGCTGGAACCTAGGTGTTTTTACAGGTTAGTGTCCTAGTCACTTCATAGGCAGACATTCATACATGTATGTATGTATATGTATATATATGCCTTTGCATAAAGCCGGTCTCTGTATTCTAAAACTTTGATGATTAAAAGAGTTATTTGCTAAAAATAGCTCTTTTACCTCTTCCTCCAAGTGTTTTGTCAACCTGAAGCTGTTTTGTGAATGCAACCTTCATTTGGGAATTGTATTTTTTCTATAACGTGTCTAGAAATGTCTGCCACTCATAGAGCTTCGCTTGGCACCACAAACCCTCAGTCTGTCCCAGTTCCTGTTCTCCTTGGTGCTTTGATTTTGAATGCTTGAGCCGTATCGTTCAGGATGAAGTGATTTCTAGTCTATGAGGGAGCTGGCAATACGGACTTTTAAGAAAATGGGTATAGGCGGCACATCAACAATAATTTAAAATACTGATTTTAAAAACTTATTTTCTTCCCCACCATGTTGTTCTCACAGCTCAACTCATCTCACATGCTGCATTTCTCCACTCCAAGAATTTCAAGCCCCATCCTCCGCACCATGAGCCCTATAGCCTATCTGTCCATCCACTCCGACCCTCTGAGGGAGGCGGCTTTTCCAAGGAGCCAGTCAGCTGAGAGCCGCTCCTCGTCCTCCTGCTCCGCTGGCCGGAGGCAGCTTCCTCTCATTCCCTGTGGCAACAAGTTCCCCCCTGTCATTCGCATCTCAAAAGCACAACTGCAGCAGGTGAATAGCCTTGTCTTCCTCAAAGGGGCTGCGCTCCGGCAGTCAACCGCACAAATGAAATATATGAATTTGCTCTGCAAATTTCAGTAGTAAGCATGTGCTAGTCATACTGCTCTGCGATGACCAGCATCTTGGAAAGTGTTTAGGGAGATCAGGTTGGGGAGAATAGCAATGGTTTTTCATTAAGGAGTCAAGAATACTCTAAGAGAAAAACAAATTGTCCTACCTAGAAGATGTAAAATTAGAACCAGGAATATTTAAAGATTCAGTATTCTAATCCGGAGCCTCAAACACCTCTGGATGTTGTGGGCAATAGAATTGCTGTCTCCCAGAAAAGTCAGAGGGACTTTTTCTGGGAAAGGTTGGATTATAAAACCCAGATAATAGATTTTTGCTTGTTTCAAAATGAAGATTAAAATCTCTTTTGCGTATGTGATTTCCTGTAATCACTCCTGGATTTTTAACTGGGAATGCACAGTAAAACTTAGACTACCTAAAATATTTTAAGATGGGAAAATATAGGATCCAACAACGGTGACATTACTTATTTGGTCATCCAGAATATATAACTCTTTATACAGTTTGCAGCATATAAAGTGCAACTTGGGAATTAGTGAAACCTGGAGATTGTCAGGGCCACCACAGGTCCCTGTGAAAAGTAGCAGGTTTGTTGCTTTGTATTGTCAGTTTCTTTTCAATAAGAAAAAGAAGATTATGTGGGATCATAATTAATGTTTATCATAATTTATAGATTAGTTACAAAAACATTGTTATTTGCTAAGCAGTATTAAAGCAGTATGATGTAGCATTAATGCTTAAGACTATAACATACCATCATCATTACCCCATTAATATTTCATTTGGATTATATTTTCTGATGTCATTTATTTCCAACATATCTTGTTATAAATATTTCTATGTGAAAGATTTATATATATTTTTTTCTGTGAAATGTGCACAAGAATATTGAATTAAAAAGTAATCCATCAGCATTAACTTCTTTCAGACTCCAGTAGGATTAATGGTGAGTGGTAACAAGGCAAACAAGCTAGTTAGTGTATTTATGTCAGCATTTTGTCAAAAAAAGTCTTGCTTCCTACAAGTCCTGTCTGCTTTTCATTTCAATAGAAAATCTTAATTCCTCTTCCTTTGAAAATGGAAGTGGGTGAACGGTAGCTCCCAGATCTTCAGTGTCATGAACTTGATAGGATATGGAAATACCACATTCTTCATGGTGGCTGATATATTGGCTAGGGAAAAGGACATGGAAGAAATAAACTCAATAGAAATTATGCCTCATTATTCCTCGGGGCTAGTTTTTATCCCAGGATGCAAAATGGCCTAATTTTGTTTTTACAGTTGTATATCCACAGTTGAGTTTAATATTTCTTCATCAGAATGTATTGCAGATGTAATTAGCAGGCTGCTCACAATCCCCAAAGCAGGTAGGTTGGCACAAAGGGTCTCCTCGGGCTTCCTTAGTACCCAGTGGATGGATACAGCTGCAGTATTAATAGGGCTGCAATGTGATGCACTCTCTAGTCTTGTGAAAAAGAGTTGATCTTGTGCCTGGTGCTACTACCCAGTGGGGTGAAGATGAGAGAGGAGAAAATTACATAAAGCCCTCTCAGCCCCTGCTTTATTTTTGCATGGTAAGTCCATGTCTGTTGTGCTCCTGCACAAGCTGTGATGTTGGCACTCCTGCCTCCTAAAATCCTGAGATTTTAACTTCCAAGCTTTCATTTGCTGTGGAAACTACAAACACATGCTTCCTTCCTTCATTCCATCAATCAAGACCTTGTGTACTTTATGGCCCTCTGAACTGAAGGATTTTTGCAAATCCCTCTTTTTTTCTCTCGGTAGTGCAGTAATGTTAGATACCTACTAGGCTAGAAGAGTCCCCACAGCTTGTCTTCTTTATTTCTATCTTTAGGAATCTTTAGGACATATCTTTATTTTTGCAGTTCTTATTGAGAAAAATATAAGGAGACTTAATACAGTTATTTTGTGGTCTAGCTATGCACTGTGTTAGGGAATAATTATCTGCATTTCTCAAACTTAATGAGCTCTTCTACAATTATTTTGGGCTATTTTTAGTTTTCCTACTAATCTACCTTACTGATTTTTTAAAAAATATTATAGAGTTATGTTAGTTACAAAATAGCTCTGAAATCTTCCCATATAAGATGCTATGGAAATTCAAGCTATGATGTACTTGCTATTCATATCCAAGATAAGATACAATGTACTGCTCTGAGTTGAAAAATTTACCTTAATTTTAAAGCATCTCACTGGAATTCAGGGACGTGTGGAAGAATAAGGTAAGACCTCTTGACATGTTCAAGGGATAGAGAGAGGAAAAAAATGCATATCCCTTATAATTGTCATTTTATTTTGGATGTTGTAGGTTTATCAGCCAGGAGTGCACGTAAATGTTGTGAAATTTTGCCATTTTCATGAATTAATTTTGGCAGGTTTCACTAGTCTGCAATAGCAAGAGATGAACATTTGCATGGGTTTTCAGATTTAATAAAGCCTTTCAAAATGCACAAAAAGACAAATAAAAGTCCAAGGTACTCCTCTCTTGTTACAATATGCTTTTAGCCTGATTTTAAATTTATCAGGAGAGTTAATTTGAAGTTGTCCTATGTAGTAGGATTGGATTTGAGCTCAACTCACTAGAACTCTGGTTCCGCTTGGTTTAGATCTGTCCTTTTCCATTAAAAATGTTAGGGATGGGTGTATTAGAAGAATTAGAAGAATTAAGAATTATAGCTCATTAGGTTAGCTATGCTTTGAGTAGAAACTTCCCAAATTTTAAATTTATGAAGAGATAGTTAAGGCCAACAGCATAGTGAGTATGAACCTGTTAAATCTTTTCAAATTCTCTACTGCCTGTGGAGAACACATCCCTTTTTCAGTGACAGGATCCTCTTGGCCGTTCCCCTGCTCCCCTTTTTCTGTTGGCATCGGAAGTCATAGTGAAGATCAGTAAATCCTTTGTAAAAAAATCTGAGTCTCATAGTAAAAACATCCCTATACAGGCATTACTGGTATTCTGCATTCAAGGGGGGACCAAAAATAAGAGGAGAAATATGTATGGTGTTGTTTTTTTTTTATTATCCACAGTCACATGTTGACATCTTTGAGACTTAGCAGCTTTGCAGACCAAAAGCCCATATTTCACTTCTCTGCGTTTGCTGTGTCCATTCACAGAGGATTTTATTCAAGCATATTGCTTGCTATTGCAGCCTGTCAAAGGTTTAAAGGGAGGAGAGTTTGTCAGATGTCATATGGGATGTCTAGTAGATTTATGTTGTTGTTGTTCTTTTTCCTAAATAATACCCCACTCACTGTATTGTAAAGTTTCTCAAAGAACATGCAGTCTAATTCCTTGTGTCAGTCAAGCGCTAATTTGAGAACTCAGGAAGGTATTAGGAAATTATTCTGGGGAGGCCTAAGGATTTGGGATCATGATGGCAATAATTTCATTTAAATATTTCAGAAAGAAAGCTCTAATTCATTGTTCCATATATACTAACAGTCTTTTATAGTATTTTATTGTATCACATAGCTTCTCCTGAAGTGTGGAGATTATGGCAGCTGGGTAGTAACTTTACTAGCTGATTTTTGTAGTAAGCTGATAGTCAACAATTTAAATTCTATTCCCCATGTGCTGCTTAAATGAGTTGCCCACATCACACTGTAATCTTTGTTTCTCAGCTTCAGTGTTGAACAAAATAAGCCATAGAAGTCTCATGGGGCTAGTACGTTATTAATCTGACTGGAAATGAGTGCTTTTTCAAAAAGTTCTGCTTTGTCTCTGTTTTCCGTGGCTGAGTTGATATGCCTGGATTCTCATTAAAAAGCTTCTGCTGCTAGAAAGGCTGCAATTACTCTGCAGAAGTAGTAATTCTTTCAGATGAAGGCAACAAACTGAGAATAAGAGATGAGGAGGAATGTTTTCTTTAGACTTTCCTCAAACAATATAACTTCAATTTGTTTCCCAATGTGTCGTTTCAATTCAGCGAACAAGGGGAACCCATGAAAGGGACTACGCTGGTCTAAAATTGAAAACAAATTACCAGGAGGCAAAAGTAGCATTATTGGTGGAGGTCTCAATGTCCGTCCCCGCTCCCCACCTCTAGTATGTCTCTACTTAGCACAGATGCTACAGACAACTTGGTTCTACTTGGGAAAACCATTACACTCTACCCTTTTTCTTTATCCAATGAAAATGCCATTTTCAGCGGCCAAATAGCCCATCCCATGTATGAAACCACACAGACCCCCCACACCTTTCCTACAAATTCAGTGGTCCTCTGAAAACTTCTGCTAGTGCTTGACTTCTGGGTTCCTTAGGTTAAAGTGCAAAACTCCACCAGCTGTATTAGGCTGTGTTTTACAATAGAGGAATCATTTTGTTGCCATAAGTGATTGTCCTGTCTTTATTCAGGTTTTATGCCAGTCTGCTTTCTTTCATGTTTTGTTCTAGTGAACCATTTATAGTATCAGCTGAACCTTTGTATTACGTGGAGGTAAATGTGGACCGATAATGATGGAAATTTGGTTATAGAGAACTCTGAAGAAAGTGTACAGCAATAGTTTAGTAAAGCTATTTCAGATTTCCTGTGACAGTATGTGCCCTTCACTATCACTTACCATTTCTGCTTTTGCACGTGTGAAGTTTGAGTGTACAGTGTAAATGGTGACAGGTCCTGACAGAGAAGCTTGCTTTCTTACTTTTTTTACATCTACTGGTACCAATAAGGTCAGTAGCACTTCTAGGTAATTTCTGCAACGAGTTCAAGTGAAATCTGCCTTGTAACACAGCAGAACCCTGGCAGTGTTGGAGCTGAACCATCATTGATCTTCTCTTTTATCATTGAGAACGTTTCTGTGTCCAAACCCAAACTCCAGTCTTTTCCACTTGCTGCTGTGTGTTACAAATGCAAAGCTGTGTCAGATTCATGAGGCTCAAGAACATAAGTGGGAACAAGGAGCTGAACCCTGTATCCTCATAAAGGAAAATGTAAGGATAGCCATTGCATTTATTCCTGTTTATTCATTTTATCCAGTAACCTCAATACAATGTTTAGAAGCCAGAATTTGAGCAAAGATGTAAAGCTCCTTTGGCCTGTGTGTGTTCCCTCGTGCTCTCACCTTGTGACTCTAGTGTTTCTGTCTGTACAGTGACCCAGCTCCAGTGGGAATGCTGAACAGCATCCCTGTCTGGTTTTGTCCATTGCCTGTGGAAAGTTGGTTCATGTCCCTCAGGCTGGAGAGAGGCACGGATACAGGTTTCCCACGTCCTGGACATGTGCACTAATGTTTAAGCAATGTACTAGAGGCACAACCAACTCTTCTTTCTTTTTTTCTTTTTTTTTTTTTTTTAAATGTTCTCTTTCGTGACCCTGAACCAATTCCATACATGTGTTTTAGGACTGCATTAAGCTTATCTATTGGTTTGGAATCCTCAGGGATTGAATAATTGTGAATTCAGTGAATAATTAGTTTGTGATTCTTTTAGTGGGGTGAAGGAGAATTCCTTGGTTTAAACAAGATATAAGCATATCAGTGGAAGGAAATAGGTAAAATATGGGCGCTTGGGAAAGCTTTCTGAACAAAATGCATTACAGGTACTGATATATTCAGTTAGGTAGATAAAATTTTTATGAATTCTTCTGTTAACAAAGTTCAGCCTAAACTGAAATTTAAGTCCCTTTCTGAATCTGGACCTCGGTGCTTTCATTTTAGTCTGTAAATCACTGTCCCTTGTCTTCTATACTTGTCTAAAAAGTATTGTTATGTATTTGTTAAAGCTTTCTTATTTGTCTTTTCTAAAAATAATAAAGTAGTAAAAAGTTTACCTCTTAGGCTGTATCTGTTTTTCAGGAAGTTCATTGGTAATTGCAACTTTTCTACTATGGCTGTGTTTGTTTTTACCTGTTACACATTTCTGTGTTGAGATGATTAATTTATTTTTTAATTATCTAAATGTAATTTGTGAAGCTAGGTATACTTTGAGCATCGTAATTCTCAGGAATCATTATATAAGGTATCTTGAAAACACGGAATCAATGCATTTTAAAGAAAGTTATCTATATAACATAATATTGCTGCATTTCTCACCTTCTCCTTCTCAAATTTCTCAATGCAGGTAACAATACCCAGACCTTCTGTGGCATCTACACAGTCTGCTTCGGAGAGTTTTCATTATGGCCACCAGCTGGAGAAAAGAGACCGTGATGCTCACTCTATGGATCACACTGTGGAACTTGCCTCTCCAAAGGAAAATTTGCCAGGTTTGGTTGTGACAGAAGAGGCACTTCCCACTAGTGCTGACAGACCAGATTTGGGATTTAATATCAGCCAAGAGGTACTTGAAGGGGAAAGACATGGCAAAGAATGTGTCAGACTCCTGGACTGTGCCCAGAAGGACCTACCTGATCCGCATAGCAGGAGACAGGAAGAGAAAGAACTTGAAAATCTTCCTGTAGAATCTGGGGGAGAACGGCTTCCAGTGGTTTCTGAGGATGCCAATGAAATGCTAAGCAAAGAACAAAATTCTTTACCAGGAAAGTCAAAATCTGTGGAGGAAGAGCCTCTAACCAATGCTGAAGCTGCTGAAGAATCAAAGCCAAGGCCTCTCTGCTTGGTGCCAAATCAGGATGAGCTTCTGAAATCCACAGCACCCAAAACACAACAAGTTTCTCCCTCAAGACTTAGCAATTCACATACTAATAGACAGGCAAACAAAAAGGCACCCATTCAGGAGAACGGTTTTCACAATAATAAGGAACAAATCCATATCCAAGACTTGAAAAGCCACCAGTTGGCCCTGACTACTTTTTTGCACCAGGAGGACAAAAAGGAGAAAAATGCTCCCAGAAATGGAGAATTATTGCACTGCATTTCAGAGAATGAGAATTCTCATCGATCTAAAAAGGACTCAGTTAAATCTCCTTTTACGTTCAGGCAGAGCCGAATTCCAGTTTTAGCACAAGAGATAGACTCGTCAGATTCCTCTTCACCTGTTTCGGCAAAAGAAAAGCTCCTTCTAAAAAAGGCCCATCAGACAGACTTGGTCAGGCTGCTCGTAGAAAAGAGACAGCTCAGATCTTTCCTTGGTGACCTCTCAAGTGCCTCTGACAAGTCACTGGAGGAAAAAGTGGCTGCTGCTCCGGTACCGTTTTCCGAGGATGACGTCCTGTCTTCGTTTTCTAGGTTAACATTGGACTCGCATTTCAGCAAGCAGACCGAAGATAGCTCCTTATCTCCAAGCAGCCCTCAGTCCAGGAAGAGCAAGATTCCAAGGCCAGTATCCTGGGCTACCGCTGAGCAAGTCACCAGTTCGAGTTCAGCCCAGTTCTTTCCTCGGCCCCCACCAGGAAAACCGCCTACTAGGCCTGGGGTAGAAGCTAGGTAATACAGAGAAAATAATAGGTAGTCAGTTTGAACATGGCTTTGAGCTAGACTGCAGTAAATATGCAGTAGGTAATCATGTAGATATTCCATCCTTGGTAAAATATATTATATATTTTTAATACTGGGCTTGAATTCCCTGAGAAATCTTACTTATTTGAGGGGTGAGTGAGGAGAGATTGTTACAGAAGAAAGTCCCTACTTTAATACTAGGAAAGTCACTTTATGCAAACTTCTTTAAAAAGTGGGGACTCCATCACAAACCCATAAAAATCAATAAGATCTCTTATATTCAGCCCCTTTGAAAGTTAAATTGTTTTTATTTTAGAAGTTTTAAGTAAAGAAGTTTTAGAAGTTTTAAATTTAAGTTTGGATTTGGCCATCAGAATTAAGATAATATGTTCACATCATGGTTAAGTAAAAGAGGCTATTTACTGAAGGCCAGAATGAACTGTAGAAGCCCTCCTTTACCAGTTCTGTATATAGACAATGCAATTGTCTCTATATAAAGTTTCGTTGGTGCCTGGCTTATCAGGAAAAGAACAGCTTTGATAATAATCAGTAGTGTGAAATGGTCTGAAGGAGAAACATTGTGGTGGGCCTTATAACTCTGCATGCAGCATATGGATGGTGTACAGGAATGGTTGGATCCATCCAAAACTGAGGTGATAAGCACTGTACTTCAGTGCGTTTGTTCCAGTGCCATCTGGAAAATTCAGTTTTCTTGTAAACACTAGACTGTTTTTGTGACTGAGTTTATACAAATGGTAATACTGTGGTGATGTGAACTACAGAGGCGAAAAATCTAAATCCAAACACTGCTGTCTTACAGGAAAAAAATTAAAACCAAGTGTCTGATCATGGGTTTTTATATGAACTTTTGCTAATAGATGGGGACAGAAATAATCTTTTTTTGTTTCTTCTTAAGGTTACGCAGATACAGAGTCCTAGGGAGCAGCAGCTCGGACTCGGATCTTATCTCGCGCCTGGCTCAAATACTACAGAACGGATCTCAAAGACCGCGGAATTCTACTCAGTGTAAGAGTCCAGGATCTCCACATAGTCCAAAAACACCACCCAAAAGCCCTGTTATCCCCCGGCGCAGTCCCAGTGCCTCCCCTAGGAGCTCTTCCTTACCCCGCACTTCCAGTTCTTCTCCGTCCCGGCCTGGGAGACCCCACCATGATCAGAGGAGTTCATCCCCGCATCTTGGGAGGAGTAAGTCACCTCCTAGCCATTCAGGCTCCTCATCTTCTAGGAGATCCTGCCAACAAGAGCATTGCTGCAGCAAACCGAGCAAGAACGGCCTGAAAGGATCCGGCAGTTCCTTCCACCATTCCCCAAACACTAAAACTCCCACGGGAAAGAGCAAATCAGCCAGTAAGCTTAGCAGATAGGAACTCTGGGCCTTGACAGTTGTAAAGTCTCCTAAATCCAATGCATGTTGTGTCTGTGTACTGTGTATTTAAAAAAAAAAAAAAAAATCAAAAAAGTTTAAAAAAAAAAAAAAGTGTTGAATCTGAGCTTTCAAAAGAAAGTGAACATCAAAGACTATTCATGACAAAACATACTGTGGAGAAGAGTGGCCAGGCATTCCCGAAGAACAGGCAGCAAGCAGATCTGGGGAGGCGAGGTAAAGGCCAGGGAAAGAATGGCTAGTTAGATGAAGAGGTGCAGTGTTTTTAAAGTGAAAAATATTTCTGAGGTGAGTGTTTTAAAAGGAAATGTATTTCTATGTTTTTAGTTTGTCTAGCTGGAAGATTTGGCCTAATTATTGTAAGGCCTGTCTCGAGGAGTATACAAGAAAACTTAAAAACTTTATTCCCAAAATGACACCCCCACTGGGGAGATGAGTACCGTTCAGGCAAGTATTTGTAGTTTTAAATAAGCACATGACTTGGAAGATTATGGAATTTCTACCTTATAAGTCCTTTCCGTTTCGAGCTGCGCATGTCTCTGAGTCGGTCAGTGCTCACCTTTTCCCATATCTGCCATGGCACAGAACTTCCTCCATAGAGAAGTACCATATTCTGTATCCCTCTTGAGACTGATCACATTTTTAAAATAAGTATTAGCACTTGTCAAGATGCGAAGCTCCATAGAACATTTCTTTAGTACTAATTAGTTGAGAATTAGCTTCTCGGATCCTAGTTCTCTCATACTTCAAATTCTAAAGAACTCTGTTTGGATAAGGAAAAAAAAAATCATGTTTGGGAAATGAGAGATAAAAGATATCTGCCCTCCATGGGATGTTGCAGATTTACAGTAAGTTGCAATGTACATGAGAATAGAAGCTATAAATAGGAAACAGAAATCTGTTTTTTATGTATTTTTTTCCCTTACCTAAATGCACAAAGATCCCTTGTTCCTGCTAGCTATGGTTATTCCATTAGTTATGAACCACTTAAGCCATTGATATTTTTAATGGTGTCAATATCTTCCTATTGAATCCACGCTAAGAAGCTGTAAAAAGCAGAGACGATTACCAACCTGCTTTTGCTTTATATTCCTTTATATACACATGAAAAGTGAAACATGCCTGAGTTCTCAGAGATAGGGAGAGTGTCTATATTGTGAACTTGGTAGGCTGCAGGTAACAAAAAATATGCTCAAAGCCTTACAGAATCTGGGTAAGAATATTAGTTGTCAAAGTAGAATATAGAGAAAACAAATGAGAGATGTTTTTGATCTCAGATTCTTGTCATTCTTTGTCCAGATCATTCCTCGATAGCCACGTGTCATTGTCAGTTCATGGTGTCTAGATTTCCCAGCTTCTTTTGGTAGTTGCTGCTGGAACTCCTGTGCTGTGCAGGACCTCTGGAGGAAGCCTTTAGCTGTAGCACCCTGGGCTGTGTTGGGAAGAGGACAGTGGGTGGGAAGAGCAGCACACGGGAGAGCAGCCCGAAGGAGGTGCAGCAGCTCTCCCTGGCTGTGCCTGTCCCGGGAGGCTGCTGGTGCAGGAAGCTGGGCGCTTCCTGATCTGCTTGCTGTGCTCACATGCCTCTCCAACCACATCTGTGCTTTTTTATTTAGCCTCTGCCAAATGAATACCTTTGAATTAAGAAGGGAATATTTTGTCTCTGAGCTGACGCATTTTAATGCTGCATTAAAGCTGCCCTGGAGCTGCACTGAATTTCACTTGCTCTGTCAGACTATGTTGATTTTTTTTTCTTACTATGAATATGTATATTGTTCTCCATACATAATGTAGCATAGTGTGGAACCTTAATTTCATTCAGGTTTCGAGCACTACAGAGGAACGCAATAGGTAGGGTATATGATTTTTTTCTGAAGAAACTGTACCATTGGAAAGTCCTATTCCCTGTATTATATTGTAAAATAGGTGCTATACCAATAATTGCATGTCCTCATGGTAAATTATATAATATAAATATTTATAAATATATATATACATATGCTTATATAAACTCACACTTTCTCATTTTTCATTTGTAACTTACGGACCATAAATGATACCATTCCCTTTCTGTTGGTTCCTGAATACTCTTGGCACTGTATCTCCTATTCCTGAATATTTTCTGGAATGCACCAAGTCCAACAGCCTGCTGCAAGGCTTGGTACGAGATGGAAGGACTGCTGATTTCTATCAATATAAGCCCGTGTTTCGTCTTGCAGCTTTCTTTGTTTGATATTTTATGTGTGTTTGCGTATGAACAGGAACAGAGACTCAAAGGTGTTTTTATTTTTGATTACAAATAGGACTTACGATTATTCATTTTTTATTTCATCATGTGAGTTTTAATTGTTATGAATGCTCCTGATATGGGAGCAGTGACAGTCGATGAAAACCTAAGAGATGAATGTGACAACAACAAATTCCATCCTTTCCTTCCTGTTTTCCTTTTATGTTACCCTACAGTATACAGAAAAAGCGGATAGGATCTCCTTGTGACATTTCTGCCCTGGGTACTGCTGGAATTATCAGCTCATTCTGTTTCTTCTTCTCTCTCTCATTTCTGAAGAGCATTTGTTATGGTCCTACATTAACATGGTCAGCTTCAGTGGGTACGAACTTTATGCATCCTCCCCTGAAATACTGAAATTGACGTGTTTGTATTTTCTCCCCAGTGTAGCAAAATCCCCAAACAGGTCATTGCTGCTATTGTAGGAATAGCATATAACATGTAAGCCTTTTTTGTGATCTCACCAAAAATGCCAACTTTTGGATTGTTGCATATAGTTACCTAAAATGTTTCAGTGTTGTAGAAACTCACTTGAACTACTTGCCAATATAAGATACTAAGCTATGCCCAAATGGAGAGAGAGAAAATGAATCATGATTGACCAACATTTTTTCCAGTGCAATAAAAAGTAAAAGGACACTATCCCAAGTTACCTTTTGCTTTGGATTTGAGTGATGGACGTGATTTAAAATTGTCTAGTGAGAAAATCACAAAGAGGTGAATGGAAGAGTCATTGTGAATAATCTTGTCTTGAACTACCCTTTCCCTAAAGCTTTTCTTGTTGTTTGTTACCATCCTTAAAGTTTACAAAATTGCTTATTATGGATTAAAGTAGCCATCCGTTAATGTAGTTAGAATGGTACATGAGGATACAAGTGGGTGGCTCTCGTGCCAAGCCTGCCTGTGTGGTTTGTGGAGAACATCTCCAGCAAGGTTTGAGAGGCAGGGAAAGAGCCTTCCGCGAGGTTGCATAATATCATAAATTTTGATTTACATTCTCAAAACTCTGTATTAATGCTAATAAACTTGGTTATAAATGCTAAATGCCAATTATCACCTAGGTAAGACAGGTGTAGTAAAAGTAACAGAGTTTGATCATATATGTATAAATGAGTTTGCACATATGTGTGTGCATGTGCACACTTTATATAGGTACTCTACTTTGTACTATACAGAAATATATGTGCATATATATTTATACATATATAAAAGTACAGATACGCACAGTGTCAGGTATTGCATTCTCATTGGGGGAATTAATTTGCCAGAGGTGTCTAAGACCTATTGGACATTGTCTTAGTCTGATATCCCCCTGAGCTACCAGAATATTGCTCTGCCCTAATTCTGATTCAGTCTTTCTTCCATATTGCAAATCCTGATCCTGCAGTCTGACTTGGCAAAACACCCATAGCTCTTCTTACTGCTGTAGTATTATGCAGTGGTTGACTCTGTTGCTCCTGTTAACTTTTTTCTCTTAAACAAGAATGTAGACAATGCAGACTCTACTTTAAACAGATTTTTTTTCCCTGTGATAAGCTAGACATTTTTCCAGAACACTAAGAGGCCCAAATTCTGGTAACAGGGCTGAAGAACTGCCAGAAGGTGATTATTTCAGTTTTTTGAAAGGGGCTAATGGCAAACTGCAGATAATGTGCCTCCATTTTTAAAATGAGACAGGAATTGAATCTTCCAAGAATAGAAGAAGGAAGGAGAGCTCAAACTCCATTTGGTTTCTTATCCCAGCTATATAAAATATCAGTCTTATTTTTTTTCATACAGAACTGGTCCTGTGAGATGGTGAGTACCACAAGGACCTTCTTGTTAGTTCTGATGAGCAAGGGGGTTCTCATTCTGCTGCAGGACTGAGATCTTAGGTAAACACCATGTTCCATACGGCACATTCTCTGTATGCTTTTCTGCTATGACCTATGGCCAGAGAAGCGACAGCTATATAAATAAAGGCCTTCACAGCTATCCGTGACTCCTTTCCTCAACTGCTAAGAGCTTTGGATGCTTACTACTTTTTCTGGAACTTGTGGAATAGTGCTTATTTTTTTTTAATTAATCTTTTATTCTACTTTTGTAGCTAACCAAGTGAACTAAAGGTTTTTGCTTGCTTTTGGCTCAAGTTTATATTGGCCACAGGTTTTGGTAGCAAGTGACTTCAGTAAAAGGGAGCAAGGTTCAGTGCTTGGGCTGGGTGTAATATGCAGGCCACGCTGTGTGGGTCTCCATTCTTGGCTGATAGATGCAGATCCCATAAACAGGAATGCCCAGCCAGGATCCCAGGAATACCTCCCCGCTCCGCCTGAGGCCAGCCTTCCTTTCCCCTGCACATAGCGTTTGTAAAAGAGAAATGATGTGAAAGTTCAACAGCATCATGTAATAACTTCCTGAATTTATCTTAAGATGCTGTCAGAAAAGTTTGTTTAGTGACAGGAACATCAAACCTCATTTTCCTGTGGTTTAAATAATCAAGCTTTTTATTATTAGCTTCTGAGGTCTTTTTAAAGGAAAAAAATGCATATGAATGTATTGTTTTAAAGTTTAAATGTATTGACTTAGAGCAGTTGCTCTAACCACGCAAGGTGAATGCACAGGCTGATTTTCTCTTCACTGTTAGCAATGAAATCTCTCTTGCAGTAACAGTGACAAAACCTCAAGTACTTTATACCTCTTCAGGATAATAAATAGGTGCTGGTTTTCATTAGCTATTTTCTTTCCAAACTGCTTGGCATTTATGTGGGATATCTGCAGTAGTGACATTTCTGTTTTTAAGAGAATTCTTCCCTATTAGTTGAGAAATAACCAGGTGACCTTTACAACAAATTTAGCAAATTTAGCAGTCGGGCACTGGCCCTTGTATTGGAGGATGTGTAGAGCTTTGGGTGTACCGAGTATTCAGCTGACCGGTCTCAGCTCTTCTTGTAGCTGGGGCAGAGGATGGTCTGCAGAGAACAGCTCAGAGCAGGAGTTCAATCTGAGTGCTCTGAACCGACCTCCCAGTGGCCTCTTATTCTTTGCTGAGCAGAGTGGAAGTCCAGCTAAGCAGGTACTTCAGGTGTCAAAGGGAGGCTGAAGGTGTCTCCGGTTTTGTTTGTGATATGTCAGAATTCTAGTATTTTGTATTTGTAAAAATACAACTTCAAATCCATGTGAATCCACGTGTAAAAATACAAAATAGCTTCACGTGGCTTTGAAGTTTTTTGCTATCAATTGCATCACCTGCGGTTTCTTCTAAGGCAGTCCCACAAGTAGGCTACTCGTAGGAGTTGCTGGTCATCTACTGCTCTCTGCAGAACTTCAGCTGAAATTCGGTGGAATTGAATTCCATCTAAATTCAGACATTAGACATCTTTGATCTGACTTACACATAAAGAAGCTATAAAGCAGCAAAGCAGCCTGCACTCTTCTCTGAGGTAGAGTATGATTAGCTTGATCTGCTTCTCTTCATATTTAATACTCCTGTAAACCCACACCTGCTGCATGGCAGGCAAAGGTGTGAAGGTCTAATGCTGGGTAAATGTCTTCTGTTCTATTGTATTTTGCTCTTTTCAGCTGATTTTGTGTCTTTTCCATCTTCCTGAGTGGAGCGCTGCGTTGATTGTTGCATCCTCCTTACTGTCCCTGGCTAGAAAGTGAAGTTTGAAATTCTTCCCCAATTTCAGACTTTTTGGTAGTAGAATCAGTCCAGAGGCAAGCAGCAGTGCTTGGGCTAACATGTTGATTGTAAAATGCTTTCTTAGGACTATCCAAACCTACAAGTTAAGGAGATCACCAGCAATGCCTTTAGACAAGTACTGAATTTTTGAAGCTGTGAACCAATGTCTGTTAATATATAGTCTCTGGGCAATACCACAAAGACTTAAATGAGTGTATTAATTCAAAATAGGATGGTGTTGCATAAGAAATTAAGTACTTGGAATAAAATCTGTAGCATGATGAAATTAAGTGGAAGGCTGTTCCCAGAGGCTGGTTGTTGCTGTTGAGGGGAGGCAAATGTAGAACCATTCAAATTCCCTTGCTCAGTAGTTGCAGTTCCCTTCCCTTTCCTCGGAGATCTTGTAAGCCATCTTCTTTAAGTTTGCTCAGGCACCCAGGAACATGAAGAGTTAATGCCCTCGTAATGGTCATTTGTACATAAAGGTGTAATTATTTATTTTCCCATTTGTACCATAACAAGGCTTTGTACAATGTTTTAAGTTCTGTTTTCAAATTATTTTGTATTTATTTTTATAAATCGGTTCTAAATAAAATATTCATTCAGCATGCAAAACTCCACTTCTTGACTGTGTCTGTATGGTGATTTTACTACTTATAAAGCATTGCTCAAAATGTTTTTCCAGTACAGATGTTTCTGTTATCTTAATCCTGTACTTTAAATGGAGAGATTAAGTGTTGGTTGTGATTTTTCTTTTCTGTTACAAGAAAGCAAAATAAGTTTGTTTTGCTACTAATGCAATGAGAGTTGGATGTTTCATATTGTAAGCCCGAACAGGGATAGACTTACTAGTTTAGTAGCTGGTGTGTTGCATATTAGTAAGATTAGAAAAGCTCAGCCCTTGTCCCCAACCCTGCCTCCGTTTCCCTTTGCTCTTGCTCGTATCCCCACTCTGTGTTTAGCCAAGCCAGATCAGGATCTGCAGATTCCAGCCTTATCATGCTGAAAGACAAATTATTACTTTGTTTGTTTGTTTTTCAGCTATAATTGTAATTTCTTATTTAGCCAGAGGCCTCTGTGATCCGTCTCTTTAGAGGTGGCACTTACTATCCCTTATTCAGCTGTCTGGACATAGTTAGTCTAGGCTTGCACAGACTCTTGAAAAGAGCAGCCTTCCCCTCTGTATAATACACTTGAGATGCAGGTAGCAGAGAAATGAGTAAACAGAGGTTATTGAATCTGAACAGTTTGTGTTTCTGGAAATGCAGTTTTGAACTACCAGCTGCTCTGTGTTGGTTTCCTCCAGCATCCTTTCATCTTTTTCCAGTAAAATAGATAAAAGCATATTGTCCTCACAACTTAAATGTAATCTGTGCGCATGCTTGTCCTTGGTCATTTTATGCAGTAGAAAATGTTGCCTACTCTTTGCCCTGCAGAACAAGATTTTCAGGAAAGTGCAGAAGAATCGGAGACAATTCCCTTGATCTCCTCCTCAGTTTTATCATTGTTTTTATCAGTGTCAGCTTTGTTATGCCATGCATGTGAGGCAAATCCGAGGTCAGCTCTGCCTGTGCTCAAGCCATTGGCAGTATTTCCATTAATCATCGTGACATTAATCCTGAGCTGGGAGCAGGCAGAAAGGGAAGGACATGCTGCTGGAGGACGTGAGCTTTTAGTGCTCCCATCACTGGGGCTTGGTCGTTTACACGCTTTATACTGGAGAGAGGTAGCTCAGAGCCTTTCTCTGCTTAAAATGTTAATGTAAATATGGATCTTATCAGAGGAGTGGTCTTAGCCTGGTCCACAGAAGGGTTATGACTGACCTACAACGTAGGGAGACCCCAGAAAGGTGCCGTGGCCGACCCGCTGCTCCCGTCTGGCTGCTGCTCCCGCTCAGCACAGCGCGTCCCACCGCGCCGTGAGCAGATGAGGCGATTGAGGCTGCTCATCCCGCGCACGGGATCCTGCTGCTTCCCTGCTCCTGGCCAGCGGCTTCCTCCCCTTTCAGGCACGGGAAAGCTACGGAGTTCACACACGCTGCAGTAAATTAAATTCAAGGCTTCACAGCTGGAGGAAGGGCTTGAAAGGAAGCTGAGCGTGTAGGAAGGGGCTCGCGCCGCCTGGCCAAGCTCAGGCGCTGCCCGGCTGCTCCAGCGCCTCGGATCGCGTTTCGCTCATCCGGCCGGAATGCCGCAGCTCTGCTGAGGGCTGCTCTGCTTGCAAGCGCCAAAAGTGAATGAAGGGTTCCCAGTTACCCAGCTGTGCTGAGAGGGGAGAAACAAAAACGCTACCAGGAGCATTAGTATGGAAAACTTTCCAACAAGGGCTCCCCAAAAAATGCCACAACCAACTGAGGGTTTTTTTTTTTCCTGTTTTTAAGAACAAAAACTTACGACCAAGATAGTGGTATCTGTCACCCACACCTGCTTGCGTAGGGAAAGCCTGGAACCAAGAGCCCCTCCTGTCGTTCAAGGTATAGCCCATGTGTTAATCCCAGTCAGCAACACACCTTACACGTGTCTAGTCTTGTGAGTTCTTTGCCTGTTGAGCAGCCTGTGGCACTGCAGGGATGCGCTTGCTCACAACGTGACCTCTCCGTGTTCACTTTTCATTGAGCAGCAGGAGGCAGCTTTTGAGCCACGTATATGTGTGCAGAGACACTTTGTATAGACCTGAGATGTATTAATTCAAGGTAAATATTCTGATAGGGTAAAATTGGAGATGGGAAAATTCCTTGTGTTATTTTATCATGGGGCAGCAATTGTTGCCTTCCAGGTTATTTTAAAGTAACTTCCAGGTTATTTTAAAGATTATTTTAAAGTAACTTCAGTGACAATAGTTTCTTCCTACCTAAATGTAAAAAGATTTTTTTTTCTTGTTCACATTAGGCTAAAGCCAACTAGCTCCTTTATGCTTATTTCAGATTGGACACTTTGACATTACTTTTCGCTCAAACGCTTCCTTAATTCTTCCTTGAGTTCAGAGTTAGGAGAATGAAGGTTTTTAGTAGCATCTCAGGTGATGGTCAAAGTGTCTCTTCAAAAGCTACACAAGAGCATTGGTTCTGCGTGGAGCGAGTTCAGCCCCTGCCTCCTGTAATTTCTTCGGCAGAGATTCCAGCTTCAGTTTCACGCACAACAGAATATGGGAACGTTTCTGTCCTCTCTATATCAAGCTACGTGGTACTGGATTCCAGGAGGCTTGCAAGAGCTGGTGAAGACACAGGCTGCTTATAGCCTGTGCCAGCAGAACTTGCTCCACATCAAAAACAGGCATCACCACTTATTATTTTTGCTGTATTTCTCTTATTTTAATCATGTGACAAGAAATAGCCTGCCCTGCAATAAAGCAAAATACCTGTGAGGAGAAGGTGCATTTGATGAGCTGGAAATGAACAGTCACCAGATGGAGCGATGTTGCATGAATTTGGAGAAGTACATTCATGACCCAACAGCTCAATCCTAAACCATTCCCAGGGTAAGCAGATAGGCCAACCCTGCCTGTGATGCCTTGCACAGCTCAGACTTAAAAAAAAAAAAAAAAAAAGAAAAAAAAAAGAAAAAAAAAGAAAACCCATTGCCTCAAATTACAATAACTGGAAAAGTAAGTATTGAAAAAGCAGGTACTTTTAAAAAATCAACTACTACTGCCATTTCTTTAAACGAGTTGTTTAAGACTCAGCTCCTGCTAGCTAGTAACCATGTTACTTTTTCACCCCACTCTTACGCCTTTTATTTTTCAAAAGGTCACATTAAACAAAAGATGATACAGACAAGAGTCTTAGTCAAAATAAATCTGTTTTTTTTTTCTTTTTTAAAGAGAGTAAGACGGCAAATAGAAGAAAAACATTAGCCAACTGCAACAGTTAACAAACAAGAGACTGGTGAGTAGTGTTTAATGCCACCTCTAGTGAAATGTTTCCCACTTGGAAAAATGTGGGAGGCAAGTCCACTTTGCTCCTTGAGAGTCACAGGCTGGAGCAGAACATACAACAGCACCTAACACCACAGTCACTTTACATATATTCAAGTTTTTACACATCTGCAAAGCAGAAGTAGTAGCAGCCATTGGGATGTTCTTTCTTAATGGTTCTCAGGGCGGGCCGAGGAAACTCGGAGGGACCCGGCTCCTGCGACATGGAGCTGGAGCTGCAGCTGCTGCTCCTGCTGCTGCCTCCGGCCGCCTGCACTCGCGCCCTGTCCTCGGCCGGGGAGGCCTGCGGCGAGCCCGGGCTCAGGTAGCCGGCCGCGGTCTGAGTGGAGGCCGTGGCGAACGTGGCGGGGCCGGCGTTGTTCCTCACGTAGACGTTCTTGATGGCAGCAAGCGTGTGCGCCATGAGGCTCAGGCTGTGGCTGAGCTCCTGCATGCCCTGCTGCAGCAGCCGCAGGTTGTGGTTGACGCTGTCAAAGCCAGACTGGATCACCTGCAGCTGGGTCTGCTGAATCTGCAGGAGCTCCTCCTCGGTGACTTCACTGCGGTCTGCCTGCGCAGACCTGCACGTGCCTTTTGTTTTGGCTTTTACTTTCCCGGAGGAACCACCACCCGTTGTCCCCAGAAAAGGCAGCTGCTCCTGGCTGGGTGGAACCACCGCCATGTCCTCAGAGCTTTCTTCTGGCTCCACCACTTTCACTACTATCTCTTCTTTCAAGCTCATCTTCTGCAGGCTGGACTGATGAGATGGGCCAGGGTCATCCTCAAACCCTAGAGGAGACGGAAGAAAAAGAACAGCGCGTGAGAAGTGTCATTCCCCTTGGCGGTCAGTAACACCTCTTCCCACCCACTGGGCACGAATACCAATTCCTGAACTCCAGGGAACTGTGACGGGGTGCTCACCAACAGCGTTATCCCTGAAACTTTGGGAATACGCCTACCCGTACCGGCGGGGAGGCGCAGAGAGGCGCTCGGGGGCCGGGGCGGCCCGGGGCACCGCACGAGGGGCCGGGCCCGGGCGCGGGGCGCCGCCGCACTCACCCACGCGTCCCAGCGCGGCGCCGGGCAGCTCCAGCGTGTCGATGCCGCCCGCGATGGGCACGGCGGCGGGCAGCACGTAGGCGCGCGGCGGCGCGCGGCGCGGCGGGGCGGCGCGCGGCAGCTCCTCCGCGGCCAGCAGGAGGCCGAGCGCGGCGGCGGGGCCGGGCGCGCCGCCGCCCTGCGACAGGCGGCAGAGCTTGCTGCGGTCGCGGCGCTTGAGGTCGCGCCAGCGCTTCTTGAGGTCCTCCACGTCGCGCGGGCAGGCGGCCACCGGGTTCACCTTGTGGCGGATGAGCTCCCACACGCGCCGCTTCTGGCCCGGCGAGGCGCGGCCCGGCCCCGCGGCGAACAGCAGCCGCTCGTGCTTCAGCACCTGCTCGATGAGCACCTCGGTCTCCGCCTCGTTGAAGTTGGCCTTGCGCCGCTTCGGCGACT